AAGCAGGGAATGGGATGCATTGGAGAATTACAAGTGATTTTGTATTTCGGGAAAGTAAGGCATGGGCTTGAAGGTTAAGCTGCAGAGGCGAATGATAGCTAGGTCACAGAGGACCTGGTATTCCTGTTTCTCAGGTGTACTCTGAAGAATACCAGTACGATGAGGTGCTATACAAAGGGCTCCATGGTCACATACATTCTGGAAGTGCTAAATCCTGGCTCAACCTTCTTTAGATTGACAAGGCACATTAAAGGCTCTGAGAAGTCCTGCGGTAAAGAAATGTGTTATATTTTGCCTAGCCCCAAAGGTATTTAATTAAAAAGTCATGTCTTTCTTCTAGATTAAAATCCAGCAGAACTGAGGTTATTTGAAACCTACTTTGAGATCCTTGGCCTTAGGGAGCCGTTGGATGCTTTTAAGCGGTGGAGCAACATACTGAAATGTGCTTCATAAATCGAGGTCCTTGGTTCTTTGTTGGCATGTGTCTCAATAGCACTTGTCTTACCTGGTGATATGATAGTCGTGAACTTGTCTAACCTGAGGCCGACTGTTGTCTTTGCGGACAGGCATTGTGTGGCTCATATTTCTATCTTCCCAAGCTCTTTGCTGCCTTCAGGGCCTAAGGAAATTCTCAATATGTTGGTGGGCTGGGAATGAGCTGATTGGCAGTACAGCCGCAGACACTTGAGTTACAAACTCATTAGTCGTCTTCCTTATTTAGCTCCTTGGCAGAAGCGAATGTCTCCAAGCTGGAGGAGCAAACAAGATGCAGCACAGAAATGTGAGGGCGGGGAAATATTTTAAGCTGCCAAAAAGCCTAGAAGTCTGCAGATAAGAGCCTCCACCTGCACACCCACAGCCTGCCTTTGGGGATGCCGTCACTGGCGACGACTCATTTCCTGGGCCAGCATCAGGACAAGTTAACGTGCCATTAGTCCTCAGAGTCAACAGAAAGGCCCCCACACCCTCGTCCCACCTTCCAGCCACTGAGATGTCAGCCCACCTCCTGCACGGGTACTGGTGTGGTGAGGGGCCTTCAAGTCCAAAGCCACTGGGTTTCTTGCTGCTATCTCTTCCTGATTTGGAGGGAAACCAGTTAGGTCTGTCTTTGGAAAGACAGAGCCACAATACACTTAATTTGTACATATGTGGTTTTCTTTAGATTCGGTGGTCTCCTGGGGACCCTACCTGTACAGCATGGTAAGTAGACGGGTCCCCAGCTCTGCATCCTCTGTGGTAGACAGCTCAGCTGACCTCTTCTGGCTCTGTCCCTAGGAAGGGAGAAGTTAGATGAGTTTGCCTATGTGGTTGACACTGCTCCTTAGGGACTATTAATCCATTTCGAATTGGAAACCCAAAGCAACAGCTAACCTAAGGGACAAACTGAAAGAAAATCATCACACTTGTTCCATTTTTCCAGGTATAAGGAACACAATTTTTTCATTCCCTAACTTTTTATTATTAATATAAAAATTTTCAAATATGCAAAAAAGTCGAAAGATCACTGTGAACACCTACATACC